GCCTGCTTTTCTTATAATATGTTCTGCATACAAGTTGAATAGATAGGTCTGAGAGGTTTTCTGCTAGTACTATGGCATCATCTCCATATCTTAGATTGCTGATATCCCTTCCTCTATTTGCACTCCTCCTTCTTCTGTGTCCAAGCATGCTTTCCTTGCAATATGTTCTGCATATAGGTTGAAAAGGTAGGCTGATACCTATTACCCCTAACTACCCCTATTTTAAAAACAAACTCATTTTCTAATACCTGTTATTATAAGTATTTAAAGCCAGATTTTTCCAAACATCCCCATTGTGTTCATGATGGGACTGGTGTTAAGGATAACCTCAATTGCCTGTTTTCTATTCCTAATTCTAGCAGACAGAGGATTATTCCAGGTGGGGTCTGACCAAAGCAGAATAGAGGGGCACTATGTCTTCCCTCCATCCAGACATGGATTCCTATGGATACCAGGCAGGGAAATTACTATATAACATCCTTTCCCAATGAAAGTGGATGAAGAAGACCTCCGCTAGAAGCAACCTTTTCTTTTCAGGAGCTGAAGCCTGTTGGTGTGAATGGGACCTTTCCTTTTCTGGCCCTCAAGCGAGACAATGGAGTCCATGTTAAGGTGTATCCACGCTGCAGAAATAAAGCAGTTTGATACCACTTTAACTGCCATGACTTTATTATCCTACTGAATCTTGGGGCTCAAAGAAGGCAAATGCATATAATCCCATTTATCCGTTGAAAGGAACGAAATGAGAACACAACAGCTTGCAGAGGTATAAGCTCTGGCTGCATCTACGCTGCAGAATAAATGCAGCCTAGCACCACTTTAAGGGCCATGGCTTAATGCTATGGAATCCTGGGATTTGTAGTTTGGTGAGATATCAAGAGAGCTCTGAGGCCACAACAAACTACACATCCCAGGATTCCACAGCACAGAGCCAGGGCAGTTAAAGCGGTGTCAAGCTGCATTAATTCTGCAATGTGTTAATAGGCGTTGAATGTGTGTGTGTTTTTGTTAAAATGTTTAATATTAATGTTTTACACACATTGGTGGTTGGTGTTGTTTTCTTAATGCATTGAAAACTTTTGCACTATATATTGTTTGAGCTGTTGGGTCCCATATTGGAGGAAAGGATGGATATACAGTAATTAAGTCAAATGGAATATGTATATATATGTGTGTGTGTGTGTATATATATATATATATATATATATATATATATATGTTTAGAAACATAGAGGAAATGCCCCATTGGTTCTTTCTCTTGTCAACACCTGTCTGTTGCCATAGAAACAGAGCATCCCCTGCCTCTGTCTCCATGGCAACAAGGAGCAAAAACTAGGCTTCCAGTGATGGCAAGAATCAGAGAAAGGCTTGCATCACCAATTTCTTCAAAAATCTTTTTTTCCAAAGGACCCTCTCATTGGACTTGCAACAGCCACAAGAGGGAAAAACCTGGGGAAAATGACCTTTTCTGGACTCATTTCCAAACCGAGAGCCCTATTCTTGCCTGTCCAGTGTTAAAAGGAAGGCCAGAAGCATTTTGTTTTAGCAAAATATATTACAAATTGCAAAATGCACATGATGACGGTAACATTTATTAGCTAAGCCAAGGGAGCAAAAGATGTCATGCAAGCTTTCGAACTTCACAGGCCTCTTCATCGGTGAAAGGTATTGAAACCCATTTGTCAGGGAAGGTCACCATCCATCTGAAATAATGCTTTTTAATATCCCCCTTGACAATGAATGTTGTAGCACTTTCAATGGATCTGTATTGCTGGATAGCGTGGCGCATTCGAGGCACAGCATCGTAGAACCATAGAATTGGAAGAGACCCTGAAGGTCATCCAGTCCAACCCCATATTCTGCCATGCAGGAACTCACAATCAAAGCCCTCCCTGTGAGAGATGGCCTTCCAGCCGCTGCTTAAAAACAGCCTTCAAAGAAGGAGACTCCAAGGGAGCAGCATCT